TGGACCTATTTGTTAATTGTCTCCCAAACGTAAGTTCAAACATTTTGGTGATCACGACAAACACACGTCTCACAACGTGTTTGATGTTTTTGGACATGAATTATTAGGGAAGGATTTCTCTTTTGCCAGTTGTGATGTTTTGTCTGGGACACGAAGAAGCTTGAAGTTTTTTGCGACGAAGCCGTCAATAAATGTGTCACTTCTCCTGACTTTTGAGAACTATATTGACGCACGAAGTATTGTGAAATGGAAAAGTTGACTTTGTGTGCCCTAGAAACAACTTTTTCGTGTGACTGTACTGACTTGATGTGGTTTTATGATAGTCTGGTGACCACCGTTTACTGTGTTTTTGTCCTGAGGCTGTCTTTGATTGGTGAAAAACATTTCTGCTGTATTGCCCAATCAATTTGTGATAGTCTTCTGGTGAAATCTTTCTGTTTTGCGTCCAAGTTTCTCTGACAAGGAATTATTGAAAGATTTTGTTGAGTCTCCTGTTAGCAACTGTTACAAGTAATCTGACAACAAAGTGACTTCTTGTTCAATTTTTATCAGTCTAATCACAATAAAATATTATTATTAAATATTAAAATATTATTACAATTAACATTTAAATATTTAAAATATATTAATATTTAATAATAATATTTTATTGTGATTAGACTGATAACAAATTTAACAAGTATATATTCAACACAATATGACGCAACATTATCATCTCAAAGTGACTTCTGTTTCGTTCAGAACAGCTTTTTGGAAAAAGAATATACAGTTCCTTAACAATGAAATATATGGTTACAGATGTTTACAGAATTTAAATTGTCGATATTTTTATTGTTAAAAAATATTTTTAAATGTCAGCTGTTTTATTGTAAAAATTATGTAGAACTATAGTCTGGATCCCCTAAGATGACTGAAATTTTCCGAAACTTTCAGGGTCGTTACTTAAAAAAGAAGCTTTGCTTTAAAGTAACAAGTTACGTTCCTACGTTCTTCATTTTTTCGCTGATGTGCGT